CTCTAAATTAGGAGCAGGCAAGAAATAATTCCCTTGTAAGAGTCAGTCTGGGAGGTTTAGATTGAGATTGATCATAGGTTTAGCTGTAAAAGGTTGGTGTGAGGTGTCAAACAATGTTAGTCTTTTTTTCCCTTAAGTTTCCTTTAGACATGGTACCAGTGTGGTGTTCATTGCTTCAATTTTATTTGGCTTCATAGACTGTTTCAAAACATGTATGGGAAAATCCAGGAGAGAGGGGGAGAGAGTGGTATGCCCTCACTAGCCTAAGTGGCTCTGTTTTTGGCCCATTTCCAATCAACTATGGGTGGAGACAATGTATCTGGTAAATAGTGTTTTGTATCAATGAGATTTGTATTTTTTCCTAATTGGACAGCTAGTGAAGAAAGACACCTGACATTGTGTTCAGATTCTTATCTCTGTAGCATGCCATGTATCTTGTAGATTAATCAACTAGGATTGCACTTTCATGCTCTATATTTTTAAGGCTGTCAAGCAGTTAAAATGTAATAGTGTTTAATTATGCTTTGAACAATAATAGAATACCATGTATATAAATATTTCTGGATGTTTTTCACATTTTCAAACATTGATTTCAATTACAAAAATACAGAATACAAAGTGTACACTGCACTTTTTATATTTTTATTATACATATTTGCACTGTAAAGTGTACACTGCACTTTTTATATTTTTATTATATATATTTGCACTGTAAAAACAACAGAAATTGTATTTTTCAATTCACTTAATGCAAGGCCTATAGTGCAATCTCTTTATCACAACAAATGTACAATTTACAAATGTAGAATTATATACAAAAATACATGCATTCAAAAACAACAGAAAATTAGAGAGCCTACAGTTCCATTCAGTCCTACTTCTTGTTTAGCTAGTTAAGTTTGTTTATATTTGCAGGAATATGGCCGCCCACTTCTTGCTTACAATGTCATCTGAAAGTGGGACTAGGCATTCACGTGGTGTAACTACACTTCTTTTGGGAATGGTGTACTGATCCATCTAGTGGCACTGAGACCACTTATAGAGAAAATAATGAGTGTTATAGGACTTTAGCTACCAGCTAGCTGGATTTTAGCTCATGCAGTAGATCGGGTCTACTCAACATGTGGCTGCATGTGGCCCACGGCCCATTTGTTTGTAGCCCACAGTGCAGTTTGGGTTTACATGGTGCTCAACACGCAGTCCGTGGGTGGGATCCTTTGAACATGGCCTCCAGTGGGAACACACTCCACAGCGGAGAGGTGTCTCCCAGGTGGGGTGAGCATTGAAAGACGCAAATGGGCAATCTGGCTGGAACTGACGGGTACAGGGTGTCACTGTTTCTAGCCCCCAGGGAGGAGGTGCCGGGAGCACTGGGGCATTGTGAGAAGTGCTGGCTGCTTTGTATTAATGCCCGTCAGTGTGAAAGAAGCTCTTTGCATATATATTTGCATGTATATGCAACCATGCTTAAGTTGTGGCCCTTGGCATGTGCTGTGAGTATCATCGGGGCCCCCTGGGCTTTCAAAGTTGAGTAGTCCTGCAGTAAATGCTCATGTTCTAAGCTCCAGAGGTCCCAGGTTCAATTCCACCTGTGAGTGTTACAATGGCATTGTTGTAGCCAGTGTTGTCAGATATTTACATGCTAGATGTGCTAAAGATTCATGTGTCCCTTCATGCTGCAACTACCATTCCAGAGGACATGTGTCCATGCTGATGATGGATTCTGCTAGGTAACAATTCAAAGCAGTATAGACTGATTCATGTTAATTTTCATCTGAATAATTTTCATCACCAACAGGTTGATTTTCTTTTTTAATAGTTTGGGTTTGTTAATTTCTGCATTGGCGTGTTGCTCTTTTAAGACTTCTAAAAGCATGCTCCATATCTCTTCCCTCTCAAATTTTGGAAGCCACTTGAAATTCTTAAATCTTGGGTCAAATGCAAAGAAGCTGCATCTTTAGAAATCGCACATTGGTACCTTTTTTGTGTTTTGTCAATTCTACATTGAAAATGTTCTTAAAATGAACATGTGCTTGGTTATCATCCAACACTGCTATAACATGAAATAAATGGCAGAATGTGGATAAAACAGAGCAGGAGACATACAGTTCTCCCCCGAGGAGTTCAGTCATAAGTTTATTTAATGCCTTTTTTTTAATTGAATGTTGTCAGCATGGAAGCATGTCCTCTGGAATGGTGGCCAAAACCTGAAGGGACATATGAAAGCTTAGCATATCTGCCATGCAAATACCTTGCAATGCTAGCTAAAAAAAGTGCCATGTGAATGCCTCTTCTCACTTTCAGGTACCACTGTAAATAAGAAGCAGGCAGCATTATCTCCCATATATGTAAACAAGCTTGTTTGTCTTAGTGATTGGTTGAAGAAGAAGTAGGACTGAGTAGGGATGTGAACAGGTAACTGATTAACTAGTTACCCGTTAAGCATCATCCTTACCAGGTGATCTCTACTGGGTACCAGTAAACGAGTACCTGGGAGCAGCTCTGTGGGGGACAAGAGCAAAAGCCAGCTTCCCCACTCATTGGGTTGACAGCTCTTGCTGCTCCTCCCTTGCTGCTGAAGAAGATAGGTGGGATCCCACTTAATCGGCTAACCAGTTAAATCAAGGTTTAACAGGTTAACCGATAGGGGCAGCACAGCGCAGAGCCCGGGATCAGCTGTGCGGCACTGCCCCCTTTGAAATCCTGATGCCGTGTTTCAAGCACCACGCAGAGTCTGCCGTGCCTTTCAGTGCTGCTGTGGCATTTCAAAGGGGCAGCACCGTGCAGAGCCCGGGATCAGCTGTGCAGCGCTGCCTCTTTGAAACACCATGACGACATTTCAAAGGGGCAGTGGTGCCCGGGATCAGCACTATACACTTTGTATTCTGGTTGTAATTGAAATCAATATATTTGAAGATGTAGAAAACATCCAAAAATATTTAAATAGATAGTATTCTTATTATTGTTTAACAGCGCAATTAATCACGATTATTTTTTTAATTACTTGACAGCCCTAAAGTCATTGTATTTGATCCAAAATATTTAATAAATTTCAATTGGTATTCTGTTGTTTAACAGTGAGATTAAAACTGTATTTGATCATGATTTTTTAATTAATCACATGAGTTAACTGCAATTAATAGACCTAATTCTACAAGATACATAATGAGTTTTGTTGTATCTTGGGACCATGATAATTCTTTTATTTTAGAGTAGAGAGTTAAGTATGTGTGAATATAGATTAGTGACAACAGGGCAAAACTCTTGGGTGAATTGGAGACCTTCTTTGAATTAATTTTTTGGCCTCAAAATTACTGTGGAGGTATATTTTTTGATTTTATGCTTCTTCATGCTCTTGTGGCCAAAATTAAATATAGTATTGATTTTAATATCTGTTAGGAGAGCAATCCAAAGACCATGTCCTAGTCATGTGTAGAAATAGATGTGATTAGTCTGATTAACACAGGGGTATTCAAACTCTAGGTTGCAGCTTGTAAGGGCAAGCTGCTAGCTGGCCACGAGATACTTAGTTTATCTGTGCCTCTGCGCCCCTGCTGGTTAACTGATAGGGGCAGGTTGTACATTTCAAAGGAGGAATGCGGAACTGCGTGCCGCCCAGGGCCAGCGGGATGTCCCACTGACTCTGGGCGTGCCTGCTTTGAAATGTACAAGAGTCCCCAGCAGAGGCTTTTGTGCATTTCAAAGCCATGGAGCCCGGGGTAAGCGGGAGACTCCCCAGCTGACCCAGGTTCCACACTTCCCCGGAACCCAGGGTCAGCAGATAAAAAGCAGATTTCTACAGATTTGCAGAGCTCTATCCATCACTTCACATGCACTGGTTCAAATACAAGTCAAATACAGAGGGTATGTCTAGATTATGTGGCTCCGTCGATAGAATGAAGTTTCTCGTGAAATAAGGTTTACCGGAGCGGTCGACAAAGGCTTCCCTTGTCAACCACGGCGCATCCAAACTGCCCCGCTGTGCCGCCAAACAGCTGATCGGCACAGCATGGTGGCCATTTTGATGTAAATGAAGCGGTGATTATTTAAATCGCTGCTTCATTTTCCTATGTCTAGTAAACTCATCTACATGGCTTCGTCAAGGGAGCCATGTAGTCTAGACATACCCAGAGTGAGCAAATGTCTTTATACCATTATATGTATATTATGATATATCAAATATATTAAGTGGTCTATCAAATAAATTAGTAATAGGAGTCCAGTTTCAAAGGGACAGCTGATCACATCCCACAAATGGCTAACAGTTAATGCTAACTATCATTTTTTTGGCAGTTTCAGCAAAAAGGACACCAACTTGCATGAGTATGAGTTATGCTCTCCTTCCTAAAGGTGATGAGGTGCAGAATCATGTATGGTACTTGTTCTCTGGACTTCAGTTTAAAGGAATATTAATGTGGCACTTCTTATAATTTAACTTAGTACAGTTTAACTGTTTTGGGATTCAAGAATCTCCAAGTTTTTTCTGCTTTCTCCATCCTCTCAATTGTTACATCTAGTTTATAACCAAAGCTGCTAATAACTAATATTTATTCACAGTGAAGATAGTGATGGAAAATATATTGCTAAAAAAACCTCAACAACTATTTTTAAAAATGTGTGTGTGTTATATAAGTTTTTATCATAGCTGAAATTGATATGATTTTGGAATAGCATGCAGCAAAATAGGCTGAATTAAAATGAATCTTATTTACAGATGACTTTAACTGACTCTCCTCTTCTATAGAATAGTCCAGTTTTTCCTTAATACATGCTATAATTTGTGCTTAGTCTAGCAAGCATTTTAAACCAAGATAAATATAACTTACTCTAGTTAAATAACTGCAGTTTGTTGTCAAAAAGGCAAGAGAAAACTAGTATCTAAAATACCTGTTTCTTATTCTTGTTTTAGGGATCCATTGAATGTAAGGAATCCTTCTGTAAGATAACTTTGCTGCAGTTCCAGCCCTCCTTCTCAGTATTGTGAAGATGATTTCAATTGAAATACATTTTTGAAGAAACTGACAAGAACAGGAGTCTTATTTTTTAAAATGTTCGAACTTCAGCAGTGTGTAACAGCTAACAGGATACCCAGGAAAAGGCCTTATAGATGTGACATCTGCTACAAACAATTTGAAACCCCATCAAAATTAGCTAGGCATTATCTTATACACACTGGTCAAAAGCCATTTGAATGTCATGTATGTCATAAAACTTTTAGACAGCTAGTCCATTTGGAGAGACATGAGCTAACACACACGCTTCCTTTTAAATGTAATGTTTGCCATAGGAATTTCAAAAATTTAATCACTTTTTTAAAGCATCAACAGCTTCATAATGAAAACTACCGGAGTGATATTAAGCAAGATAAAAAATCAGTAGATGCCAAGCAAGATGGGCTGATATGTGGAATGTTTCATTGTTCTATTTTCCATAA